GAAGATGTTATACTCGGAATGATTGTCATCAAGGTGGAGATTGTTAGGCTTGGGCCTTTGAAGAGCTTTGGTAATGAAAATCATTGAGTATTAACTTGGTCCGCGACTTGGTTTAGTCACTTAGGAATGGGTTTATTTCTATTGGGTTTCGGTTAGTTTAAACCGTCTTATCTTTGTAATTGTCTTAGTCTATATAAAGCTAAGCATGTGTGGAATTAGGGTNAANCTTGTTGTTAAGATTTTCTCTGGTGTTTAGAGAAATCTTGTGAGAAACCTTATTGTAATCTGTGGTGATAGTGGATTACTGGAAAGCTCCAGATAGAGACTTAGATCACATACCGTGGTCTGTCTCCCTAATCTGTAATACATCGGCATCTAAGGATTCAAGCATATTTCTTCCAGTTGGGCGAGAATCATTGTCATCGGTTCCATCGCAAGCCTCTTCCACGTACCCTTCACTAATTTGATTTTAGTTTGGAAATCTGGAAATTTAGGATTCGTTTAGCTACGATGATGCACGTTTTTATATTATCATAACTATAGAAAGTAAGAAAGCGGAATACAGAAAATCGAAGCAAATTAAACATACCACATGCACTTGGAAAAAAGAGTATTGCAAGGAAAGCTTATGAAATGGTAAATTATCATAACTAGCCTTAATGTTAGTTTATAAGTAGCTCATAATTTGATACTGACAATGTTGTGTAAAGGTATAAAATGTCAAACTTTAAAATTAGGTTGGACTCTTTACACTTGTTTCACGAAGAAGAGACAGGTGTTGAACCAAGTAGAAGTGAAATCTTCATTGCATCCCGCAAGAGATCAGATGGAAGCATGATTTGTGAGGAAGCAAGACTATGTGCAGTTAGTTCTTTATTTCTGTAAATACTATCATGCATGACATTTTATACCTTTACTTGATTCGTGTATATTTTTGTTCTGTTTTTGGAGAATCAAAACTATTTTTTATGATTCTGTTGTATTAGTTATTCACATGGAATTGATTAAATTTTATAGGAGAAGCTTAAAGAAGTTATGAATCAGAATCTTCGGGACCAAACATCAAGTAATGATGCCTTTGCGCAAGTTTTTGGTCTAGAGCATCCAGGACGAGTTCGATGCATTGGGCGTGGTCTGACACCGTCTAAATACTTCTCAAGTTTGGACTCTACATCATGCAATGTGGAGATCGTTGAGATTAAGTCTGAACTGAAAAGTATCGTAAATAAAGTTGATATTGTTGCTAGTGCTCTTCAAGCTTTTATTGGGATCCACATGCAACCAATTTCAGGTAACTGAAATTTTTTGTTTTAAGATTTACAATTTTATTGTTTCCTACAGGTTACACTATGTGTTTCTTTTGTACAGGTGAATGAAGCAGATGGAAAAATGATGGTTAACATTCTTCAACAAGCAATATCTATAATATCAAACAACCAGGTAAAAATGTTTTCACAATATGTTAGTTCATGATCTGGTTCTGAATCTCCAATGCTTTAATGCAGAACCAAAAAAGAAAGCCAAAACATGTTTCATGCTGCTCAAACTAGTCATAGTTTCAAAAAGACTGCAGCAACAGAACCACACATGGTATAGTCACATTTCTTGTTGATTGTTATTCTTGTGACTCATGGTGATATGAAGTATAAGTTATATAATTCAGGAATTGTGTCTAATTTCAGGCAAGTAGTGTCACAGAAGAAGTAGGGAGCACTTTGAAAAGTAGAAGACAAATATGAGTCCATGAAGAGAAGTATAGTTCCACAATATTATGAGTATCTATCATATTATAGTTGGAGTAACATTTATATTGAAATCTCCATTTTATATACTATGTAAAAACATATTCATTTGGTTATTAAAAAGTTTTATTTGGATTATTAGTTAATCGGAATGTG